CACACACACACACTCTCTCTCTCACACACACACACCCACACACACACACACACACGCACACCCCCACACACACACACACACTCTCTCTCTCTCACACACACACACACTCTCTCTCTCACACACACACTCTCTCTCTCACACACACACTCTCTCTCTCACACACACACTCTCTCTCTCACACACACACTCTCTCTCTCACACACACACTCTCTCTCTCACACACACACTCTCTCTCTCACACACACACTCTCTCTCTCACACACACACTCTCTCTCTCACACACACACTCTCTCTCTCACACACACACTCTCTCTCTCACACACACACTCTCTCTCTCACACACACACTCTCTCTCTCACACACACACTCTCTCTCTCACACACACACTCTCTCTCTCACACACACACTCTCTCTCTCACACACACACTCTCTCTCTCACACACACACTCTCTCTCTCACACACACACTCTCTCTCTCACACACACACTCTCTCTCTCACACACACACTCTCTCTCTCACACACACACTCTCTCTCTCACACACACACTCTCTCTCTCACACACACACTCTCTCTCTCACACACACACTCTCTCTCACACACACTCTCACACACACACTCTCACACACACACACTCTCTCACACACACTCACACAAACACACACACACACACACACACTCTCACACACACACTGCGTCTCTCGTTCCCATACACACCCTTCACTCATTCACGGGCGAATCTCATGCAAACGTGTTCCACCCCAAAATCACAAGAAATGATGATTGCATAAAGAACATGAAGCCTGTATAATTGTACCATTATAATTATTTTGCATTGCGACATTATTTTCATGTTACAAAAATGTTTAAATCTCCAATTCTCATTCCTGTAATGCACAAAAAAAGTCCCTTTATCATTACTGTAATGTCCAAAAATCAGCAAATCAGCATTAATTAAAGGTTGTAAAATGGTAGCGAGCTCACAAAGCATGCACATTGCATGGTCTTAATGGTCTTTAATCAAAATATATTTTCTTATTTTATATTTGATTCTGCGGTGAAATATAATCCAGTCATGTTCTTCTGTAGACTTAAACAATTAAATACCATCATATTTTTTGCATTACAGTAATGCATTACAGTAATTCTATTTTCATTGTCACGAAAACAGAATTTTAAAAATTGTCCTTAAAATAGTCATAATTTTCTTCAAGCAAAATATGTAAAGTATATTCTTTATTTATTTTTAATAAAAAAACAACAACATCTATGTTCTTCAAAAATGAGATCAATCATATCTTAGTGAGAATTTAGGGGAAAATGTGTTTAATTTTCTTGAAAATACAATAAAAAAAGCCCTTAATATATAAAATCATATATATATATATATATATATATATATATACTTTCTAAAAGATATATATATTTTTTATTTTAATATTGAAGTTAAAGACATGTTCTTTAAAAATTATTTAAAAATATTATCATAATAATGAGAATTAGGCAGAGATGTTTAATTGTCATGAAAATACAATAAAGTCCTAAAATGGGCATAATTTTCTTAATGCAAACTGTATGTTTTTCTTTTGATTTTGGTGTAAAGCATGAGCTGCTCTTGACCGGTTTGGTGAGATTCTGCCGTATAGATGTTAAACTGCTGTGTGAATGAGGCAGATGTCGAGTGATTCGGGAACTGAAGGAAAAATCCGTCCCGTCTGGAGCGACGTGACCCTCTCTCACGCCCCCGTGACCCCGCCTCATTTGCATACTAATCCCCGCCCCGAATGCCATCGCTGAGGTGCCACAGCAACAGGCTCCGCGATCATCATGGCTTCAGGGAGTTTTTGTTGCATCTTCATAACGTTAATCATCTCTGTCATATTCATAAATGCCAGGCTGTCACAGGCTTATATAATGTCATTTATTTAAATTTACTGCTCCGAAGCGCAGACGCAGCCTCGTCCCGCGGGACGCTCCGCAGAATCAGATCAGATTTGGTGGAAATTAATCACATTAAATCGTAGATTAAGCGATAATCCCCTCTGTAAGTGATTGGCATTGACCCGTTACCCAGAGATCAGTGCTTCTCAAGTACCCTGGTAAAGATGATAATACCATGCTATTGTGTAATCTTGTTATATATTAACCCAAAAACTCTCCTGATGAGTCCTTCAGCCAGACCGAGTTATTTTAGTATCACCGAGATGCTGTTATAGTTTTTATTAATATTTGTATTTTTATTTTTTAGTGATTTTGTGGTGCGTTTTTTGTTATTTTTATTAGGTTTTTTTTTAGATATCTATATCGTTTTTTTTATTCATTTTTATTTCGGTTTTAGTACATCAAGCTAAACTAAATGAAAATGAGAAATTATGCCTTGAGAACTAGCTGAAATAAAATATGTAATAAAATATTTAGTGTGATTGAGATACTACTATAGTTTTTATTATTTTTGTATCAGTTTTTTTCTGTTTTAATTAAAATTAAAGTTTTAGTAGAAACTTTACAAACTTATTTTTAGTAATAAAATGAAAGCATAGCTTTTGTTCATTTTTATTTCAGTTTTAGTACATCAAGCTAAACTAAATGAAAAATTGCAGCTAGCTGAAATAAACTAAATATTTTGAGATACTATTATAATTTTTATTAATATTTTGTTTGTTTTTATTTTTATATTTTTTGTTTTCATTTTAATTAAAAAAATTTTTAGTACATTTGTTTATTGATTTTTGTCATTTTTATAATTTTTTTTTAAAAATGTCTGTATAGTTTTTATTTATTTTTATTTCAGTTTTAGTTTATTACATCAAGCTAAACTAAATGAAAATGAAAAATTGCAGCTAGCTGAAATAAACTAAATATTTGATTAAATATTTTGAGATGCTATTATTATTTTTAATATTTGAATTCATTTTCATTTTAAAGTTTGTTTGTTTTTTTTGTTTTTTTTATATTTTTTATTATATTGTCTATTTTAGTTTATTTAATGTTTCATGCAACTGAAAACAAATTAATCGCATTAAATCATAGATTAAGCGATAATCCCCTCAGAGTGGCCCGGGGAGCTGTCCACCCCGTTACCCAGAGATCAGTGCAGCGTCCCTGGGGAAGAGCGCCGGGCGAGTCCCTGGATTAGGCCTCAAAATCACTCATTTCCATAATTACACTTTATTAATTGATATATTGGATGATGGTGATTCCAGAGTGTTTAGTGTGTGTGAGAGCATGTGTACATGTTTACTGACGGCCAGCTGTTTGGGATTTTTGTATTTTAAGAAGGGGAAAAGAACTGTACGGTAAAAGATCTGCCGCTATAGCGAGCATCAGAGCTTATATAATGTGAATTCATTCATTGATCTCTTTAAGCTCACAGTAACATGTCGTAACGCAGTCTACTAAGAAACATGCTTTTAACCCAAAAACCCCTGATTTTTCCTTTTAGCCAGACATATAGATGCATAACTTTGTGCTTTGTGTTAGTCCCACCAACAAACATGGTTGCTTTTTATGGAAATGGCTAATTACTTTATATCACGTGCATTAAATATAATAATGCAAAAAACAATTTTATTAAATATATTATTCATAATATTATTTAAAAATAAAATATACTGTGGTTAAAATATATGTATATATATTTTTATTTTATTTTAATATTTTTTCCTGTTTGAGAAGTGTGCAAGATAAAAATTAGCGTGTGCATAGTATGCTAAAAATCCCCATATATTATATTATACTTTCATATTATTTTGATCCAAATAATATCTGTCTCAGATATATAATTATATAAACATACGTGTAATATTGACAGTAAAAAGATATTTTTCAATTATTTTTGCTGTTTGTTTGCCCCACCAGCACTTACAATGCATTGTTGCTTTTAATGGAAAGAAAATAACTCGTTACTTTTAATTACTTTGCATTAAATCAAATAACACTTGCTCATTATTTTTCATGGATTTTCAAACGATCTATTTATGCATGCTTATTATTGTCCACAAACCCTTGCACAAGAGTTTGTGACCAAACTGAGGCCGAAAGTGCCAAAGTATATGAATTTTCAGTTAATAAATGAAGATGCATGCTAATGTTTACATGCACACACAAATAGTCTAACAAATGAGACTCTAAAACTAGCGTACTTTTTATTTTCATGGTATGGAAAGAATGAATCAGTGATTCATTAGAGCGGATCTTTTCGGTGTTTTTTTCTGTCTGGGTGAAGCGGTGCCTGTGTGTTTCGTAATGCATCGGTTCTTTCGTAACACAGGCATCTGTATTTTCCCTCAGGAATATTACAGTTGCACAACTCTAGCGGGTGAAATGAAGAGTGTTTCTTCAGAAAAGCAAAGTGTGTTGAATCAGAGTGATGTATTTTTAGGGAAAAGAGAGGAAAGGCTCGAAGCACAATGCAGACGCTCCGAAAAGATCGTCTAAAGCGAGGAGCGTCACGCTGGAGGACGAGGACTGGAAGAAGGCGGCGCTAGTCAGCGGATCCAATCTGACGCGCTCTGGAAGTGTTAAAGATCTCATATACAGGTTTGACGGGGCGCTGCCGAGCCTCGGCTCGCTGAAGATCAAAAGGCAAGACGTGAGCGCACGGGATTCTGGGAAAATGAGACCTGAAAGCACAGAGAGAGAGAAGAGCCAGAACCCGGTCTCTGGTGAACCGTCAGAACCGAAAGCACAAGAAGCCTCTGAGCAGGAACGTCACGGAGCAGAGAAGACGAGCGATGACGAGCAGAAGGCCCAGCGCAGTAAAGACAAGCCAGACGCTTCTGATCCCGGTCCGGTAAGTGGCCGAGGGATCTCGTATCGGACCCGGCGTCACGCTGGAGGACGAGGACTGGAAGAAGGCGGCGCTAGTCAGTGGATCCAATCTGACGCGCTCTGGAAGCGTTAAAGATCTCATATACAGGTTTGACGGGGCGCTGCCGAGCCTCGGCTCACTGAAGATCAAAAGGCAAGACGTGAGCGCACGGGATTCTGGGAAAATGAGACCTGAAAGCACAGAGAGAGAGAAGAGCCAGAACCCGGTCTCTGGTGAACCGTCAACACAAGAAGCCTCTGAGCAGGAACGTCACGGAGCAGAGAAGACGAGCGATGACGAGCAGAAGGCCCAGCGCAGTAAAGACAAGCCAGACGCTTCTGATCCCGGTCCGGTAAGTGGCCGAGGGCTCTCGTATCGGACCCAGAAAAAAAAATACAGGTAAAAAGCAAATACAGCTCAGTAAATACAATTAAGTAGCACATACTGTATATAATACACTGAATTAATAAAATTATAAATATTGTTATAGGTGATAAAAAAACAAGTGATTTGACCTTGTGCATGGTTTGTGTGCTTTAGATGTGCGTGTGTGTCTCTGAGTGTTTGTAACACAACATGCATATGATCTGCTGTAATAATCGGCGTTCGTGTTTTGATTTATGATTCAAACAGCAGCTCTGTCCTCACTCATTTATGACGCTGAGCTTGATTTTCGATGTTTGCTTTTCTTACCCAGCATTTCGGTCTAAATGGCGAGAAGCAGCACAGCAGTCCTCAGTCCGAGGACGAGCCCACGACCCCGAAAGTCCGTCCCAACCCCAAGTACCAGCTCTATCTGGGCTCCAACGGCACCAGCGGCTCCAACGGGGCCAACGGGACTCTGCTGAGGTTCAGTCCTGTGATCCGGGGGTCCATGGAGTCGCTGTCGTCCCGGGACGGGGACAGCATGTCCGACAGAGTGAGTGTGTGGCTGCTTATAGAAACCAGGATTAGTAGGCTATAGCTAACTAGAATTAATATTAGGGCTGTCAAAATGCCTGAAAAACTAAATTCGAATTTTGTACTGAAATATTAGCAAAATTCGAATTATATTAGAATTTGAAATGCATAATTTCAGTTAGGGTGAAGAAAAGCTTTTGGCTTCTCTCCTGAGGCCACAAGAGGGCGCATCATTCAAAGCATACGATAACATGACTATCTGTGAAAAAAGTGCATATGTTTAAAATAATGTTTATAAACCAATTATAATTAAGTTGCTTAAACAACTATAAACAAAACAGCATCATGTATGTATGCAGAGTTTAATACAAAGGGCCGAAAGCCAGTCACACAGAGTATATTTTTCATTTAAAAACACAAGTTGGGATGGAAAACAACCCTGCCATAAAGTCTCGAGATATGTTTTTTTTTTTTCCAAAGTTGAACTTGCATTAATTTTACATGGCTTTCTAAACATGCGGTTCCTTTGTGCAAGATGTGAGTGCAATGGTGATAGATGTCCCTCTAGAAAATGTGATAAATATGCGTTCTGTGTGAATGGCTTGGTTTCAGTTTTGATGTAAACAAGATCTTCTCCACATTGATGTTCTCTTTTCCCGCAATATCTGTAGTTAACAACGCAGCAGCGCCGCATCCAGTGTCTTCAACTGGAGAGGTTAACAAAAGCATTATAATGCACACCGTCATCGCATCTCGTGCACCGCTGATAAAGCTGCCTTCTTAACGCACAGCTAAAATTCGAATGCAAAAACGTTGTGGATTTTTATTTTAAATTCGACGAATATTCCAAATACGAATTTTTTTTGACAGCCCTAATTAATAGCACAAATGTTGTTAGTTGAAATGAAATAAGTTAATTGAAATACAAAAACTTAAATGCGTTTTATTTAACTTCGACTAGAGCTAAAACTGAAATAAAAATAGACATACTTTAAAAAAACGATAGACGTACTTTAAAAAAAACTAACAAAAATTAGAAACGCGCAACAAAATGAATAAAACTAACTAAAGAAAAAACGAAAACAGAAAATATAAAAATAAAAGCTATGAAAATAAGAAAATTCAAATATTAATAAAAACTATAATAATATCTCAATGAAACTAGAGTAACAGGAACCTAATGGTTTGTGTTTCAAAAAATAATTTAAATTAAAAAATCCTTTTTGCATTTAATAAAATTAATTATTTTTTTAAATGTAAATTTTTATAAGTAGTTAAATAGTTATTTTTATAATAATTATTATAAAATGTTATACTATTATTATATATATTATACATTTTTTAATAATAAATTTTTAAATAAAAAATATAAAAATATTTGTATCAGCAAAAATAAAATTATCAAATAATTACATAATTTTATATATATATATATATATATACACACACACATATATATATATATATATATATATTGCATGATTGGAATGTAACTTGATTATAATACAACAATTTAGTTTTAAGTAACTTTTTCTTTTATTATAGGAATTATTGATAATTATATTAATATATAAATTATATAAATATAAATAATGTATAGTCTAAAATAAATATAATAAATGATATAAATATATATTAATAATAATATGTGTTATGTATTTCTGACGTGATGTAAACAGTATGTCATGTTTATGTCTCTATATTCTTTCAGACGGGTGGCTTTGAAAGTCCTCCCCGAGTTTTCAACAGTCCGTATTCGATGCTCTCTCTGGACTACAATCCCTTCAGAGTGTGTGTGTGAGAGTGTGTCCCTCTAGTGGACAGAACATGTGTGTGTCCTACAGTCTCACATACAGCGCTTCACCCTCTTCAACAATGATCGGCTGCTTCTTTTACAATTATCATTGCTTTTATGACTTCATATGAATCCAGACTACGTGATATTTGTGTTGTGATTGTGTTGTAACCGGTCTGTCAGACACAGGAAGTGATGTCACCCACCGTCTCTGAGATGAACCTGTTCGGTCTGAACAGAAGCGTGAGTCCCGTTAACAGTCCGGCTCTGAACCAGCGCACACGAGTCCCTGGATACGACAGTCTGACCCGCAGACGAGACGTGAGTCTGTTACACAGCCAATAATACACGACATTTATATTACAATCAAATTATATATATATATATATATATATATATATATAGAGAGAGAGAGAGA